GCAGATTTCTTTAAAAAAAGAAGTTGGTTCTAAAATATCGTGGAAGTAGAATGATAGAATGGTAGGATGAACTAAGCAGCGAATTCGGCATGTAAGTAGCGAACATGTAGCGAACTCGACGAGTAACGAAACCGGCTGTTACCCAGGAGAGAATTATCCTGATTCCCCCTAAGTCTCTGTAATGTTCTTAGCATTCTCCCCTCAATTGGTAGTCAATTTTCTATAGCTGCCCCCCCCCCCGCCGCCTTTATACCGGGTGAGCCACGACTGATCTATCCTCCGTTCTCCTCGAAAGAGGATCTTAATGGGAGATAGCTTTGACGGTTGGCGGATAATTTCTTTTTAGGTTTGACAGTTGACGATTGAATGTCAGGGCCTTTGACGGTTGACATTTATTAGGAAGATATATTTTTATACGTAATCAATAAATAATGAATGTTAGGTTAGTATCTTGTGCACTTTTACGATTCTAACCTGTTCCAAGTCTGGTTCATTTTGTAAAATCAGTCGGGTCGGAAAACCTTCCGGCAAATTAAAAAACTTGTAGGAATAAAAGTTGTTTTAATTATAAACAGCCGCTGCAATGAGAGACAGTCTTAATGAGTTTTAACCATCAGCCGTTATGGGGCTCAAAATTTACCTGTCAGCCGTCAGGAAGGATGTATATTTACTGTCAACCATCAAAATGCAAATGAATATCAACATTTAAACGGCCTAAAGAAGCTCTCTATTTTAGCCGGTCGCTACCAACAGTTTTAGATCTGAAAGAATCTTTGGAACGGTAAGCTAGTCTTCAGATTTTCAAAGATGCTCAGTTTCACTCTCACCGTCTGATTTTCTCCTATAAAACCGGCAGTTTGAAATCATTTTAATAAATAAGTTAATGAGTTGATACTTATCTTTGCACACTGAACTACGCACCACTACTGCCGTTCGACAAGAACTGAGATCACGCTTAGATCATGTCTCGAAACCTGTCGATAGCTTTTATCGTTAAACGCATCAATGGGAGTTTTCGTAAGCATATTAATGATTCCTTCCAAAGCAAAGACCTTTTTAATCCGTGCTAAAAATACTAAAAGTAAGGGAAACAGTAAAATTCCAATCGAATGAATGAGAATCCAGAAAGTGTGCGAGATACTTACGTAACATTTCAATGAAAGGGAATCCTAAAGGTGCGTAGGATACTAACATAACATTCATTATACATTGTTTACTCAGGGAAAGATATCTTCTTATAATTGTCAACCATCAAAGGCTCTGAAATTTAATTTCAATCGTCATAAGGCTTAAAAATTATCTGTCAACCGTCAAAATCGGCCAAAAAAATTAACCATCAACCGTCAATAGTTGTGGAGCCTCGGGGTTTTCAACCCATGCGGTTCCGCCTGCAAAGAATGGTCTTTGGCGCAACCGAGAATGCAAAATTCACTCTGGACAGACTTGCTTTTTTTTTTTTTAAGTCAATTAGATATAACAGAATAACAGAATTTAAAGCGGTGTAGGGCATTTTCCTAGGTTTAGAAACATGTTTCATATGTTTGTGCGACTCTCATGGTATGAATTATCAGAAGCTCGACTAATTAGTTCACAGACTTCTGTTTTATTACAGACCATCGCGCGCTCACTTTGGGCCTCTCGCTTAGTTGACTGAAACGAAACATACAGCGGTGGACAGACTAAAGAATGACATAGTCAAGATCTATTTCAAAGGAAAGTCCCTTGTTGTCGCTTCTCATATCATGATATGGAGCGAAGTTTAGAGAAACAACCGAAGTCTCGAAACAGTTATTTTACTCCGTCTGATACAATTCGAGCCCTCTGTTAACTTTCTATCTCACTTGCCACTTACCAGCTTTCGCCTCCGCATGCTTCTCAGATTGCTTTTAAAGCCTTAAACTTCACCAACTGTGATAATAACCTTACCACAGTAAAATTGCGTCGGTAAAAAATTTGAATCGAACTATTTCTCCTACATTTCAAGATCATTCAAAGCTGCAGCTTTTGCGCAAAAATTCTACAGGGGCTTAAAGAGGAAAGTGAATTCAGTATTTTAGCAACGCAAGATATGCCAGCTATTAATAATCTTAAGTTACCTGGAAAGATGTTTTGGAAGAAGTGCACAAGTTTGTCAATACCCTTTACCGTCTTCTTTCTTTGTATTTATAAGCGTTGGACACTTCCTCTACACTGTAAAAGTTGCTTTTTGAAAAACCTGAGATACACTTAACTTTAAAGCTGTATCCAGCTTGAATGGTTGACTTTTCTGTTAATGATTGATTGATTGTGAAAAGCAAGCCTGATGGATTTAATTAATATTACAGTCCACTTCCGTTATTGCGAACACCCTCGGGGGGAGATGTAGTGTCCATAAGCGAGAGTCCGAAATGGCGGGGTACGCGAGAAAAAAAATATCGGTTTGTCTCTGAACATATGAAATAATATGTTACTGAGCCTGCATTAAGTTTCTAACGAACCGGAAAAAATATACGGCTGTAAGCGGGAAATTCTCAAGTTCGCACCCAATTGAAAAATGGGTTCTTTATTTTCCTTCATCGTAATGTCGATAACTCAATAAAAAAAGGAAAAACACCAGAACATAAATGCAAAGGCACCTGTTCGAAATAAATTTTATCTTTCTTTTTCCCACGGTATATTGTCTGCTGTTGGCCGATAAAAGTTTGATAGCCGTGATGTGACATATTTTGTCGTGTAAAATAAGTAAACGGACATGAACATCAGCGACTGATAATCTGAAAGAGATAAACAAATTTTTCTGCAATGCAAATGAAGCGAGAACAGCAGCTAACAGATGTTATCAGTGTTCTGCTCAGTGAAGCGTGTTGTAAGACCGCCACTCAGTTATTTACTCCTTAGATTAAGAGTTTCATAACCAAAGTACTTCAAGCCTTTCGCAAAACTTTGTTTGTTTGTTTTAATCCTAGAGGTTGATTGAAGGTCGATATCTAAAACGAAAGTCGATTTGCTACATTTATCAATAATATCTTAGCCTTTTCAATATGAAAATACTGACAGTTTAATTTGAAAGGAAATTGCAGAAGCTTTTGAAAGAGAAAGGCAGAGCAATTTCAGTGCACACAGAGACATATGAACTTTGAAATCTGCCTTCAAAAATATACCCATAATATGGCCGTTTGTTGTAGAATGCTCTTTTTCCTGAATACAAATATCGATAATGTTGGACTATATCAGTCGTCAGTTAGTATTTACTTGTCGCTAATAGGTAATTTTTTTTGCGTTTTGTCGGTAGTCAGATGTATTTTTCGCCTTTGTCGCAAGTCGATTAACCCTATTCAGACATTCCTCTACGCCTAGGCTAGAATGCTCTTCTTTCTGAATAAAAATAGTGATAACGTTGAACCATGTCGGTTGTCGGTTGGTATTTACTTTTCGCTATTAGGTAATTGTTTTTTCGTTTTGTTGGTAGTCAGATCTATTTTTCGCCCATTATCACAAGTCGGTTAACCTCATTCAGACTCTCTTATAGCTGTTACGTTCAAGAGATCTACTTCTTCCTAAGGGTAAGTTAGAAACATATGCGCTTCGCTATTCAACTAAATTGGATTCATTGGTTATTTCGTGACAATACAAATTTGACAAAGTGCTGCTGCAGATGAGATGATGTGTCACAAGAACGGGGTTAGAATTGTGCAACGTTTGTTTTAATATATTCTCACCAGTTGATCGTGACCAATTCTGAAACTGATATTCGTTCCTCGCGTTGCTAATCAAAATTGATAGATTCGAACCATTTCGATGTTATTCGGGTACTTTTCTCGGCTACGAACCCCTTCAATGATTTCCCGCGTAACAGAACGAACTCACTATCAGTCGACTTTAGACGAATTTCTTTTAAAACAATCGCTGGACTGAGTGCGACTGTGTTCGGCGATCGAACTAAATAAAACACGGAGGTTTTAGTTATTCGGGTATTGTATTTGAATGATCTCTAGTATAAAAGTCAGAAAAAAAACTCACTTTCGATTGATTTTAGACGAATTTCTTTTTAATTGTTACAAACTAGACTGCCTACCCAATTTTTTCCTTTGGGTCATTTTTTTAAAAAAAATTTTCTAGCATTCGTATGACAGCATTTGCTTGTTGTAAGCGGTAGCTCAGCTCTGGTAGTTGTTAATATCCATGCGGTTGTATTTTTTACGTAATTAGGTTCTTTGAGGTTTCAAATTGGGTCAGGTTATGTAGTTGTGAACGCTTTTTTTTTTGTATAGTGTCTAATGATACATTTTGAGTTATCAATATTCAATAGTTTCTTGTAATAATAACTTACCGTGTTTGGAATGTCAGATTTGTTGATCCTTAGATGGGGATAAATCCTTACTAGCAAATCCCCTGCCCAATTTTTAGCGTAACTGGCACCAATCTTGAGTTATGTCGCCCTTGTGATCTTAGATAAAGAGGATAAGTTTCTAAAGAAACTGGTGCTGCATCGGTGGGAGAGTATAACAAAGTAATTTGGTATTATCAAGTGGGTTGATGACGTAAATTGGCCACCTTTAAGAGTTTCAAAGCTGACGTTTCGAGCGTTAGCCTTTGTCAGAGCCCTTCGCTCTAACGACAAAGCTTGTCGTCAAGAGTGATTTCTAATGATATCGGCAGTCTTGCATCCTAAGGAGCAGCCTCACTGAGACTATGCTTGGGTAAGTTTCTAAAGAAACTGTGGTGCTGCGTCGGTGGGAGAGTATAGCAGGTAATTTAGTGTTAACTGAGTTGTAAACGTAAATTAGCCACCGTAAAGGGTAAAAGAGCTAACGTCTCGAGCGTTAGCCCTTCGTCAGAGCGATCCTGTAAGGTATTTGTACGGAGCATATGTTTACTAATGTGTAGTCAGTAAAGGAGATTGATTGTTGTTAGTTTGCAAGGAACATCTATCATCGGCTAGTGCGCACATTGGGGAAGAGTCAAGCTCGGTTTCTAGTGTTTGACACCTTGAAACATTAAAACACGAAAGAACAACGACATCATTCACGCAGTGGTTTATAAAATAGATTAAATTACATTAATTTCATACAGTCGTAAAATCACTCGTTATTTACGTTACAAATATTACAATTTGCCTTTTTGCGATAGATTTGCACGTAAAAAGGCATGGTCAAAGAAAAGGAAAGCGCTTCTAGTAGGTATAGTGTAGACGAAGTAACAACATTGTCATACAATACACTTTGCTTTGTTAGGAAACGAATTCCAGGTCTCTTTTGTTTCACGACGAGTCCCTTCAGCAGTTGCTATGATTCATCTTGGTCACGAACCGATGATACATTAAAAGACGATGAGAACTGGTTTCTGGTATCCAGTTCTTCCTGTAGCACCCGTGTGCGGGACTGTAACACTGAGATCTGCTGTCTAAGAGATTCAATGGTGTCCTCAAGGTCCTGGTAATTTTACAGGCGAAATAGTAAAATTATTAATGAAATACGAACGGTCCTAATGAGGGGCTTGTCCACAACTCACTTGACTCAAAACTGTTAAAAGTCATTAATTATGATCTTATCGGCTTCACAAAATGTAGATTATTTAAAAGCCACTGGAAAAGCTAGAAACAATTTGTCTGTATTCAAGATGCTTTTGGGTAAATCTGATTGATCAAATCCGCGTTGAATTTACTTGGAATTGAAATCCTCTTGAGCGACACTCCTCCCTTAAGAAAAATCAGATTCAGTCGTGGCAGAGCTTCGAAATACATCACCTAACCCTTTAACCCCTTGGGGTGACCAGCATCTAATTTCTCCTTCAGTACAATATCAACAAATCAAGGTTACAAGAAAAAAGGATATGATCACCAACTAAAGAAGTTCTTGATTGTTGACCAATTTCTTCTTTTCAGAACTTTGGGAATGTTGAGGGAACAGTGTGGAGAATATGTATTCTGATGTTAGGTTGTGGAGGGTTAAAAGCCACCTAACAAACAGATATTTCCTGATGAGTTATGTTCGAGTCTCATTAAGAAGTGCACTTATTTACCTCTCGAAGAGAAGCCGGCATAAGACCTTTTATTTTCTCTTCATGCTGCAGACGCAATCTGGACAACTGTGGAATAAAAAGAGAAAAATTGAGTTTTGCTTTTCCATAACTGAGACCCTTCATTAAGGAAGCCAAACTTTATAAACACGACTGGAAACAAGTTTTACATTTTCGCATCCTCCACCCCACCCCCGCCGCCACTGGGTTCGTCATTCGTGTCCAGTTCTCGTGCATTTATTTTCAGAGGTTAAAGAATCAAAAAGGAAAACAAAAATACATGCTGTAAATTGTAGCTTCGGACAAAAAATTTTGCGTCTAGTATTTTATTGTATATACCTAGATAATTAAAACGAAAACGAAAACAAAACAACGCAAGCAAGGCCGAAAGTACACATGCCAATGGAGCAAATACAAACTGCAAATTCAACTTACTTTTTCTTGCGAGTCAAGCTCCACTTGTTGAATTCGTTTCTCTAAATGTCGAACCATTGTTTTTTGTGTTTCTACGTCTTGCTGCAAAGACTGAGGTCATATGGAAAAAAAGAAGGAATGACTACATTGGCATAAAAACCACGAGTTTGTGTCGGTGTGGAGTTGAAGACTTCAACTTGTATGTACATTACCAAAATATAGACTCAAAGACGCGGATTTTTGGCATTGGACCAATCAGAAAGCAAAGCAAAAAGTGTAACAAGTACCAAGGACGATAAAATGCGCACTGGTTCGTGAGTTTATTCTAATTTACCAGAAGACGGTGTACGAATTTCTCTCATTAACGTACCTTAGCAATTGAAGAATGATGCTTTTTCACCGACGCTTTCTCTTCTTCGTATTTTGCCGTTGTCTGAGCAAGCTTCTTTTCCAAGTTTGTTCTTGTGCTGTGAACAGGAAACGCAACAAAGTGCAAATAAATGGTGTAACACATAGTTTCAGTTGTTTCACAACCAAAGAATATTAATCTCGTTTTGCCGCGATAACACCGCGTGAACGACGAATTGGAACTGATGACTGGCCTTCCTAAACGAATCTACATATTCTAGGCAAAGTTCCAGAGGACATCATTGATTGCTTGAAGCAGAAGTCAGCAAAACTTACCGGTTGTTCTCTTCTTTTAATTTCTTTATTTCTTCTTCAAGTGTTTCTACAACCTACGATGGACAAACAAAAACACATCTTACCCTCGTTTATTCAGCCTTCGTCTCATCATCACTCACATGTTGGATACTAGACTAAGCAAACACCTATGAATGGATATAACACTTAAGATTGACTGCCACCATCTTTGGTAGTAACTCTTAAACTAGCCTACGTGTAGCCGTACCCTCCCCTCCCCTTGGTGAAACACCCATTTCACGGGGGGGGGGTACGGCTACACGTAGGCTACTCTTAACTCGATGGAAATTAGACTTGACCGATCTACGCGGTTTGATGAGTAAGTTTGGTTTGAATACTGCAAGACTTGATACACTAACCTGATGTCCCTTTGAAGATCGTGTTGTATACTCTTCCTCCATTTGTTTTATCCTGTTGTTCGTCTAGAAAAAAAACAAACAAACAATTCTCTCTCTACTTGTCAAAAAACTGTATCAGAATATAGCGGAAAAAAAGAGTTCTGATTGGTTTCTCCAACACTGAGCACGAGAAATAAAACATTGCCTTCACCTGAAATCACATGCATACTACAATTACCAGCGCTGAGTAGAGTTGTGGAACAAGTTCAAACCTTCCAAAATCCTCCTGTACACTTTTTGTATTCTATAACATTAGTGGAGTCGGCGATAGGGGCGTGACATCAGCGATGTCGACCAAAAGTTAGCACTGATACTCCTTTTGGACTCTCCTGGACTAATTTTTCTCTAATAAACTCGAAAAACTGTTACTCACTTTATCTAGAATCTGTTCCATTTCGCTGCTATGTTCGCGCTGTAACTGTAATCTCTGTTGCTCAAGCTGACTCTTGAATTTCATTTGCTGTCAAAATAGAAAGAGCATTTGTTAGCACAATTTGGCCGAAACAAAAATAAAGCTTTTTTCCCTTTGGTTACAGGAGCACCATGAATGCTACAACTCAAATCTATGGTCATTTAGTAAGCGAGGCCCTTCACTTACGCATAAGCGCACAGACTGGGACCCGGCTTGCATTTCTTGACAACTTCCCTTTTAAGTACAGAAAGATGTTTTTCGTCTTGTCACGAGCGTGGGACAAAGAAAAAAGTCTGATTCCCCAGGAGGAATCGAACCTCAGACCTTCGGATTCCGCGCTCCGATGCTCTACCACTGAGCCACAGAGACTCCATGGTGAGCGTGGTCTATTACGAAGTTCGTACGAGACGCGTCCTGCATACTGCTAGGATCTGCAATGTCGATAGCGTAATGTTTGTAGATAGAAGTGAGAGAGACGGTAAGTTTTGAGCTCCCCTTAAATTAAGGGTTATTTAAATCTCTAAAATTTTCCTCCTTTGAGCTTGAGCTTAGGACAATAAATTCAATTGGAAAAGTCAAGCATTATCGCGGCCAAAAAAATGCTTCCAACGATTGTAAATTTCCTTAACACAACTAACCGAGTTTTCATCCTGTCTCTTGAACGTTTGTTTCTCCTCTTCTCTCAACAGGCTCAGCTCCATCAACTGAGTTTTATGCGTTGAATTCGCTTGAATAAGCTAACCACAAGACAGATAAAGATAAACAAAGATTTGCCAAGAGAAAAAAATCTACGCAGAGTCACAGAACGACTAAACACAACAATAAATGTGGAAAGTATTTGAGAAAAACGATTGATTTATGATTCTGCATTAAATCCAAACTAATTTCATACTAAAAAATTAAAGCAGACTGTGATTCATTAATAAAGGGGCTTTAAGGGGTAAGTTTCTAAAGAAACTGTGGTGCTACGTCGGTGGGAGAGTATAACAGGGTAATTTAGTATTATCAACTTTAGTGTTATCGTCAGAGCGAAAGACGTAGGGCTAACGCTCGAAACGCCTTGGAACTCTTTACGGTGGCCAATTTTCGTTATCAACTCAGTTGATAATACTTAATTACCCTGTTGTGTTCCATCAAACCTATCATACCTCCTCTCGCAATTCTCGTACTTGTTGCTCCAACTCAGCGATAGTCTGGAAAACAAAATATCAGCAACACTGAGCCTTAAAACTTCATGCCGTAACAGATATGTAAATAATGAAAGATGTTTCTGTGTTACCTTGGCGTCCTTGTTTGCTCTGTTTCTCGTTTGATTTTCATGTTCAAGCATTCTTTGACGAAGTTTCTCCAACTGTATTTCCTAAAAATGAAAACAAAAAGACAAAAGGGACAAATAATCAGGGCTTGTGCGACAATGCGATCTTATAAATGTTTTGCAAGTCGTTAAATATCAGGGATTATTTTCTATTAGGTCAGTAATAACAAAACGCTTCAGGCCAGCATGGAATATCCAGGACCATCACAACCAGTGACATAAAACACGACTGCTACAGTTCACTGGTAACTAGTACCAGTAATAACTATTCACGAGAAGCGGCGAGGTAAATATCTAGCGATAGCCACCGACACTGAATTGAATCACTGATTTTAACTCATTTATTCCTGCAACGGTTACAATATTTTCGGGTGCAAATCCCGCACGAGTTGCTTAGAAGTGAATAGCGAAGAATATTCAGAGTTAGAACAGCCAGTCAGAGCACGCCTCAACGCAGTCCACTGTCTTAGTATATATACTAATACAGAATAGCAATAAAAATTTTCCGCGCTTTGAAGGAAAGTTGTCGTGCCAAATTCTTGCACCCAAAACTGTTGTCAATTTGACGAGACCAATTTCACATGATTATGATCTATTCGCGACCTATTCCACCTAACCTGCGAATTATAAAATAACTGGGTCATTTAACGAACCTTTTCCTGTTCTTGTTCTTTTAATGACGAGTCCCTCTCTATCTGGTGCGCTCTTAAAGTCTGTGCCTTCTCTTGTTCATGACGAATGTTTATCTCTGCAATCTGGGACAAAACGAAATTTCTTTCACAAGGATGTCGTATAATTTTAGTAACACTCGGTCAAATATTGATTGTGCCACAAATACGTAACGCACGGACAAATTTGACTGCATCACGTTTAAATGACAATTTTCGCCCGAAGAATAGTCTACAGATGTTCTATCGCTCCCAGGGTTTCGCGCAGCGCGCTAACATCAATTTTTTTGCCACTTATTTTTTTTTGACTCGCCCTACGGACTTCGCCGCAAAGGAGGTGCTGCTCGTAGTCTACCGACGAGACAACAAATTGTGCCCATCGGCATCCTGCAGACGGAACTAAAAGCAATAACACATAACTGGTGTAAATAAAGTCGTTCTCTACAGATTGATTAAGGAATCTGTCAAATTGCTTTCGTTAGCGCTTACTTAGAAAGGTGCTTCTCGATCCAAAATGGCGGCTAACGATTAATTTCAAAATTTTCGCAACAAGGAAGTGCTTTGTGTCGTGCTTTTTCAATCACAAGGTCATTATAATTTATTAGACTTTCTTCAAATGCCACCAAATTCATCATTCCTCTAACGACCGAACACTCCAGGTTACCTCCTTTTCGTGTTTGATTTTAAGATCATCCAGTTGTCGACTAAACTCCTTCGCCTGCTTTTCACGAAGGTTCTTTGAGCGAGCCAGGTCTTCCTCGACCTTCTCCATCTGTAAGATTGCAAACAATCAAGCATTTTAATTATCAAGTTTTGGCATAGAACAGTGTCATATGTGTGTGGCAAGTAATCCTGAAAGTTGCGTGTCGATAAGCCGTTAGTACTCAAACTTAGCAAGTTCTTTACTCGTTAATTGCACAACTATTGAGGCATCTACCTGGGCTTTCATCTCATCAAACATCCTTCCCGAATTCCTCTCCACTTGACTTTTAAAATCCTCTAGCGCATGCTCGGCGTGTTGAGCTTGTTGTTTCTGAGCCTCTGACAGCTTTTGGATTTGATCTTCACGTTCTCTGTGCAAAACAATATAAACTGAGGTGTAAAAATTACAATCAGGAAACTTAGTAACGAGCCCGAAACAAAATAGCTGAACATTGGCAAAGACGCACCCCAAGGATAGAGCACAATAAAGGGGCTTACTTGACAAGATTTTCCAACTTTCTCATCCGCTTCTCCGATTCTGCCTCGCCTTGTTCGAGCTCAGATTGAATACCTCGAATCTAAAGAAAATAACACAGACAGTTAAAGAAAACACATGACTAGATGACATGACTAGGTATCTTTTTATTCAGCTCAACAGAAAGCCTTAATTTTTACCCACCTTTTTCTCGTGTAAATGTTCTAAATTCAATTTCTCCTGCTTGTGGGCAGATTCTAGTTCCTGTTGATGAGAAAGGATAAAAATTAGATGGAAGAAATTAACGCTAAACGATTGAGGAACAAAGCAGCGAATCTGCTTAAGCGGAGAAGCGCTAGAACACTGATCGATAAAATAAAAAACCAGGAACTTAACGTCATCAATGGAAAAAGCAATCAAAACAGACAAAAACACAAAGAGGAAATGTGTGTACAGTTCTTACCCTAAGCTGCCTCTGTCGTTGAAACTCCGAATCTTGTAGAGCTTGTTTAAGTTGGTTGACCTGTGTCTCCAATTCTGCTATAGTGTCGGTGGCCTGGGAATCAAAATACTTTAATTTTACCTCAAGGAAAGAAGAGGTTCTACGAGTTAAAACATTTCTTGAAACTATCAAACGAACTCTGTCATGACAACCCTTATCATTGTCATCCCTAACATACTCTGTCCTAAGTCCTTGTACCATTTCTCCCCTATTTTTTTTAACGGTTTTTCAGGCGAGGCACGCGAGAGACGAAAATTCCTCTTCCTCTCGTTTGTCTCGACCGTTGCGCCCTCCTCGTGCTTGACTCACACTCGACCCCTTGCTTGTCTCCTCTTCTAGCTATGTTTGTTAACAGTATTACGTAGGTTCTGTACCTTAGAAATCGCTGCGGTATGCTGTTGCTTCATGCTTTCCATACTGGAATCTGTCTTCTTGTTCAACTGTTTGACTACCGTCTTATGTTCATTAATTGCTTGCGAATGATCTTTCTCCATTTTGGACAGACTAAAAACAATACACAGGGGTATTACACATGTTTCATTGAACAAGCACGAGGTCAAAATTACACCACACTGAGCAAGTTCTATTTGCGTTTTAATGGGCACAGGTAAAGTTGATGAACACAAAAAAGAAACATCTCATCCGTTAAATTCAGTCCTCAAGGGCAAGACCCATATTTGTTTTGATGAGGTAGCGGGATTTTATAAAATATTTCACTATAGAACCGCAAGATATATTTGAGGCAACTTTTCGTGATTTTCTTTCTCTTAATTGTTTTAAAAAAGGAAGGCTGTTGTCTTTTGCGACCTCATTGTAAGCTGGCCACAATAATTTTTGTTGTTGTTGCTGAACAAAGAAAGCAATCCTGTAGGGCTTAAGACAGCGTTCACTTCATCTTGTCTTCTTGCCTCTTTAGCGCTACAACTTCAAGCTAACCACACAGCCACAGGAACTTAAACTTGAAACCCACATCGTGTAAGTTCATTTTCAGGGTAAACCAGTACATCGCACTACCATGGATTTACCACGAAAATGTTTTTCATGAAGAGAAAATCTGAGTGACCTTCCCCTAAAACTTCAAGATGAAACAACAACAGCAATAAGAACATTACCTTGATTTTGCCTCCTGCAATTCAGTTGACAAAGATGATGCTTGCTGTTCTAGTTCTTCCTAAAAAGGCAAGTTGAAGCAGAAGAAAAAACTGCTTTAAAAATAACAAGAAATTTCTTTCTTTAGCCACACGACATCATAACGATCGTCAGTGAAGGCAAGTATGATGTTTAAATTGAATTCTGACGGGAAAAGGGGTCCCAAACCGAAGAATCCTAATCAGAAAGATATACCAGCAGGTGTGTATTTTCCTGGAGTGTTATAGCAATAGGCATTCCATGCTTATAATTATACAGTTGTTTGTAAGGAAAGGCATCATAACCTTACACTTTTGTAATCATCAAAAGGTTGTCAAGTCCACTTTAAAAAAATTCCACTCATTTATCAATCTATTCAAAGGTGAAGGTAGGGTTACGTTTGTACTCGAGACAAGTGGCTCATCCTGGTTTAACCCATGGCATGAAGTGACAACGTGAATTACCCCCCCCCCCCCCCATGAGATATGAGATGCTAGTCCATCAAAAGGTTACTTACCCCAAGAACACAACACAGTGGCCTGTCAAGAACACAACACAGTGGCCTGTCAGGTGCCGAACCTAGACCTGCGACCTGCAGGGCCAGGTTGTTAGAAAAGGGTTTAGCATTAATCCAGGATTAAAAGTTAACCTTGACTTTAATTTCCCTTGCAGATGAGTGTGTTTAAGAGCTAGAGTTTTGTTGGGTTTTATCTCAATATGACTTGAAACTAAAAGGATAAAAATAGAAAGAAAAACTTCTCTAAAAAGCTGTTAAACTGTATTAAAAATTTGCACTAACCCTGGGTTACGTTAATTGTGTTTCAAACCCGGCCCTGGAGTCCAGTGCAATGAGCATTGGGTCATTATGTCAGCTAGGATTTCTTTCAAAAGTAGTTACAAAATAAAAGGAAACTAAAACAATTGTGATATCATTTATACACACCTTGTCCTTGGCAAGTTTTGATCTAGAATTCTGAAGTTCTTCTGATTCCTGGGTAAGTTGTTGTACTCGTGCTTCTAACTCCTGAATGACAAGTCTCTGAGCAGAGGAGAATTACAACCAAACATTGGGAGAATCAGCACCATGCAATTAGATTATGGGGCAATACAAGTGGAATGGTTTCACAAACAGTTTGCTATACAGGTGTTTGTACTTACAGTAGTACTGTTCTGTTGGTTGTATTCTGTCTCCATTTTTTGCAATCTCTGATTTGTTTCGTCCAGCAATTCTTGAATGTTTTGAGTGTGTTGCTTCTGCATCTCAAACTTCTCTTGCTCAAACTCAGCCACCTTGTCATTCAACTGAAAGGGGTCAAATTTATTTGTGTTTTGAACATCATGCTAAGATGGAATAAATTTGAATGTCTACGTGGAAAACAATCATTAAGGTTGATAATTAAAATATCAGCTTTGAGGTAAGAAGGGTGTTTCAAGGTCTCAGAGAAAAAGGAGGGACAGGGTGAAACAGAACTAGCAAACAAAAAGGAAAGAGTCATGGTATTTTTTTAAATTTTTTTTTTTTTGACACTCCACATATTTCCTTTGCTTGCTTTGCTCACCAATATTTCCATTTGAAATCAGTTATCACTAAAAGGATCAGAGGTGTTGACATCAGTAAACTTCTTTTTTTGAATCAACTGATTCTAAATTTCACTAATTTTATTGAATATCACGTAGCACTCACTATGCTAACACTACTTTGGATAGTAACATTAATAACTAACTTGCATTCTGATACCATTCCACCAACTTCAATTATGTCAATTACAACAAATCAATTTCCAGAAAAGTTTGCGAGACAGTGCGAAGTGATATAATCACAATTTAACCATATTATAACAACACTCACTGACCTTCTTCTCAAAGTCATGTTGTGCTGTTTCACCATTCTGCTCTGCAAGGGTCTTTAACTCTGCTAATTGGGCATCTCTTTGTTCCTTCATTGTCTGAGCATCTCTTACAAGCTGGGAGACTGAACACAAAATACCATAATCAGCATCATTGTGTATACACATGTTTGTATCTTTCATATAGTTTATGTACACTAAGACATGCATTAGAGTGAGGTAAAATTATAACAGTGATAATGTAGGGGATTCAATAACTTTTTCCATAAGCAGCTGCTGATGGTGTAATAGGCTGCAGTGCCTGGAAAGGGGCTGTAAGGCAAAACCCAAACTCCTGAGCCTTCTTACAGGCAAAAAAAAAAACAGCAGTAAGAGGTCTTATAGGTGGTGGTAGACTGCCGGTACCTGGCTTTTAATGAAACCCCTGTAATTGTCATTGTTACTCATGTTACATATTAAATTATCTCATACTGTGAGGCCAAATTTCTCAATTGTGTTACAAGACAAAGATGACCCAAACACACAATATAAAAATTCTATGGGCTGGTGAGCATATGGCCAGGTTATAAGTTACACGGTCATGTAAAAATATACCTAATTATACACTTTACTGCTTAAATATTCCAAAAATATTTATATCACACTATTCAAAAGGTGTGCATAACATAAAACAATGAAGTTTCATCTGGTTTACCCTTTAAACCCTACAAATGACCAGCATCTAATTTCTCCTCACAGTAATACTGGTGAATCATTCATTAATATCAGGAGAATAAAGGATATGATCACCAACCTAAGAAGCTCTGATTGCTAAGAACAGTAAGGAAAATATGGATGTTTAACTTTAAGGGTCATTGTATTATTTTGAGAGCATGTGTTGCTTCCTTCCTCACCTTTCCTTTCCTGTTTCTTGGCAGCTGCTTCCATTTCAGTTATTTTGTTTCTGTAATGTGATTTCACTTCCTCCAACTCCATGTTCTTTCTATCTAGAATCTAAACCATGGCATTTTATAACAAAAACACCATATTAATAAAAACAAACCACAAAATGATACATACAGAGCAACATATGATTTTAAGTTTGGCTGCCACCATCTACCACCCAGGTGTTCTTTTGAAACTATGGTTTCCACAGACACTGGTTTTCAAAAATTCTCTGACTTCCCCCTCTTATAGAAGTAAAAATTTACCAAAACAAATTAATACAAAGGGTAACAAATTGCAATGGTCTTTAGCCTCCCTTTAGAAGTGCCCATCCTTTCCAATGAAATATTCTATTAAGCAAATTGCAATATTTAATTCAATAGCATTCCTATTATGGCCCTCACATAAAAGACTAAGAAAATGGAAGAAAAATTTTGTCTTCTTTGTAAAGGAAAAACATTGATGTAATCAAAGTGGTGTTTCAGTTTTTCCTAACTTTGATCAAAATTTCAATTTACCTTCTCAAACTAATTGAAAAAAAAATTCCCTGACTTCTCCCTGACCTTGAGGAATGTTCTATTTCCCTAACTATTTTCTGACCTGTGAAATCACTAAAAATTTATTTCAGAATACCTTTTGAACTGCAACATCATGTTGTTGCTGAAGTTTAAGTTTATCTTCATGATATTTGGCCTCAACCATCTTTGTTCTTAGCTCAATCTGCCAAAAATATATATATATTTTGAGACTGAGTACACTTAATCAGTCTGCAATCTCTTTACAAAATGCCAAATTTAATAATATATTGTAATAATTGATCCTCTTCACAGAAATCATGCTTCAGATAAATTTTCCATTTCAATACAAAAGTGATGTGAGAGGAGTTGGTCCAGAAAACTCATGCTACTCTCTCAACCAATCAGATGCAGATCAGATAGGGCAGTTTAGTTGTTTTCAGTTTGAGTTCCCTTTGGCTTTGATGGAATCACTCAGTGATTCAGATTATGTATTAAATACAACTCTTTCTTGGTTGCTGCTGAGAATTTGCTGATATATCTGCACAAAAGCTCATACAGTAATTAATAAATTTATTAATTCAAGAGGCAATAAAAGTTACATATGGTGATGGCTCCTTGGAGTGAGGGAAATAAAAACAATAATTACCTCTCTGTCACTGGAACGATTGAAGCTATGGTCTTCTCGCAAAGTTCCATTTAAAGATGATATTCCTTTATAAAAAAGATAGTGAAAAAATTATCATAAGAGACTTTCTTCAGTTTTCAGCGCAGTAAGCAGTGAGCTCTGTAGTACAGCAGACAACAGAACAATCCTTCTAGGTTCATTTCAAGGCTGCAATCATTATATTATTTGTGTTCTTGGACTGGATACTCACAGCACATACATCCAATCAAAAAACAGAAACAGGTAGCACTTGATAAATGTCTGTTAAGGAAGGATCACAAAAATGCTTAGGGTAACCTGGGATACATATGAATAACAAGGAGTGGGGAATACCAAGGTCCATAGATGTTTATCTTCTCTGTTAGGTGATTTGTGTAGTGAGAATCAAAATAACAAATTTGATTACCACCAATTTTATTCATCATCATGTAATTTGGTTTTAAAGAATTATAGTGCTTGACAGTAAAGAAGTGAAAGAGGAGGGAAAGTTGGTCCTTACACCAAGAGAGGAAATGAACCTACCTTTGGTAAACCCATTGTAGTGATTTGTTTTTGATGGCTACAAAATAAAGAAACAAGAAATATAACAATAATAGTCCACAGTTTTCTTGGACCAGGACAAGAAAAAATGGGAAAAATTAATTTAAAAAATCAGAAATATTGCATCCCTTAGAAAACATGACAAGAAGGCTTCAATGTTATTTCCTTAGAGTGTAAATGTAGAAGGAATTTTGAAGGAAGTGGGTAAGTTTCTAAAGAAATTGTATCGCTGTGTCAATGATAATGTGAATTGGCCACTGTAAAGAGTTTCTAGAGCTAACAATTCAGGCATTAGCCCTTTATCAGAGCAAATAACCATGAGACATGTAGATTTAGAACTTTTCCTTCATGACAATTCAGGCATTAGCCCCTTATCAGAGCAAATAACCATGAGACATGTAGATTTAGAAGTTTTCCTTCATGACATTCACCAACTGACTGATTTACAAAAGGTTCTCACCATGAGCATACAACTATTCCAAGGGACAATTTCTGCCATTCATTTGTACAGTGATGTAACACAGCTATTTGATCGCAATGGAATGACATCATATCACTTCAAGACTATCATTTATCGTGTAAAAGCTTTAACTGAACATCCACATTATATTACAGGGGCCAGTTGCTCAAAGGGCAGATAATGGTATAAAATTCAATGGATAAATTGCTATCCAGTGGATAGGTATAAACAAACAATGTACTGCGCTATCCACTGAAGAGAGATTTATCAGTGGTGACAACTAAAGCAAGGTCTATGTGATAAAACATGTGACTCACTGGTGACGTAGAAGGATACCCTGAGTCGGTGTGCTGATATTCTGATGGACTCTCATAATGCCGACGAGGTGGTGGGGAAATACGACCGCCATATCTTGACTCTAGAATATCATCAGAGCCTGGGTAGCCAGAAGACAGTCTTCCCTTGTAACGTTTTTCCTCAAGTGGTTGATCAAATCCAGGAGCCACTTCATAACCATTTTTCTCCTCTCTGCTAGAAGTGCTGTAAGTTGTGGATCGTGGCCCAGTGACTGGATTTACACCACTAGTAGTTGGCAACTCCCTGAAAGCAAATATTAGGTTTTTGACAATTTTCTCAAATTCTCTTTACCCCTTATGTTCACATGAGACCATATAAACAAGGAAAAAGTCCCCTATTACTTAAATACAGAATATTATGTGAAAAAGTCTTAGCCAACCAAAACCTATTTATTAAAAGGTTCTCAGAGAGAATGTAAGGAGTTTTTTTGAAGGCAATTTTCTGAGGAAAGTTTACACACCTTCTTGAAGTAGAGGGGATGCTTCCTGAGATATCTGAAAGAGCACTTCCTGAAAAAATTAAAATATTAATTACTTGTACATATTAATCATGTGATTTTCAGTTGAGTAAGCAGCTTATCAAGAAAATCAATTTCAGTTTATCAATTTTACTTCAGATACCTGATGAACTGGGGATTTCTCTGAGCCAATCTGGTGGTTTATGACCAAATTCCTTTCAAATAAACAAAAGAAAATTATAGAAATTTGAAGCACATACATGTAAATACATGACACTTTAAAATCAATATACAAAAATCAAAATTGCAAATCTTATGTCTAAATTTTCCCAACGAAGTTTTAACTACAGACAAATTTTTTTCTCAACAACAATTTTCATTTAAAATACATAGAAACCATATTTTCTCTACTTTTTTGCTTATATTAGAATGAAGTTTCTTCAGTTGAGGAAACAAATCTATCTAAAATTGATAAATGCCAATTTTATTTTTCCTTCCACTTCTACTCATTCACAACTTAGGTAAAGAGGATACGGATTTAACTGCCACAAATACACCACGTAAACATACATTTTTTTTCCAAAAACTGTTGTATACTTCAGTACAGATTTTATTACACTGAAGTTCAGACAAATAGGTATACCTCTTCAAGTTCTGCACTGGCACTTCTCTTTTGTATAGGTTCATCAAGATAAATGGACTGCAAAAAGGTTCAGATGTTCAAATATCAAGTGGTGAATGATTCGTCCATTACATTCATTGTTTTAACAATTTATACTATTGTTTTAAATTATATATATTTGGAGCTGTCTGATTTACATTTCATGGGCTGAGAAGCACATACTTACATAGTTTACATACCATAGATAGCCTTTCTGATAAAAAAGGTTGTTTGATTTTTAACAAATTTCTGGTGATTGTGAGTCACAGTATAAATATGTGTACACTTATGTACCATGTATGATGGCAAGGTTTTGAGTGGTCCTGCCTCAGGTCGTCTGGTAAATGGTTCCTCTAACAGGTTGCGTTTAACCATATGGAGCAACAACTGAGCATAAAGGTTGCGGTTTTTCCTGTAGGATGATTATCAACACACAAAAGATTTAGTAGGAGAAGTAGTAGGTTACATCGAGTTTGTTTTAGTGTCCACTATTTTCACCAAAAAAAATTATTAGACAAAAAAGTAGGACATCATTTCCACTTTTCTGCATCAAATTTACAATCATGTAATTACAGAAAATGTATAAATTTTAAAGTGTTTCTGAATATGAAGAAATGTAGGAATTTCATTTGTCCTTAATTGTTATACTCTCAACTCAATCATTTTATTTGCTGTCAACTTACCTTCCACTTGTTCCTGGACCAGGAGGCTCACACAGTTTTTTAATCCATAGTGCAACTCTTTGCCTCTCTGAAAATAGTGAAGTTTTAAGATTTCATGTCAAAAGGTTGTTAAATGGAACACCAATGTATAATTAATCATTCTTTCCTGAAAAAATTAAAGGGAAACCTTATATGCAATTTTCATTTTTCTCTAAAAATGGAATAATAAATATTTACCTTCAATTATCATTCTCAATAAGGCAAAAGAAAAAAAAATCCAAAAAAATTAAGTCAGAGAATTCCAATCCCATTGAAAAAATACATAACACAACAGATTCATTTCCGCATTATTTGGCAGGAGATGAAACTGATAGAACACTTCTATCAATTTCTATTCATCCCATGTTTCCCTGCTTTCTTGCATTTGATTGTCACATTAATCATTCTGTATAAACTAGCCAAACTTTACTGATATCTTTAGCATACATCTACACAAAATAGTAATTTATAACTAAATTATTATTTGAATCAAAGTTGGTAAGACTTTCTAGCTGTTTAGTTAAATTGAGTTAATCATTAAATAGATTGCTCAATAAATGATGAACCAATAAAATTTAATATATATTGGCAAGTTGAACCTGAAATGTCACATGATTGAAAACTGTATAATGTACCCTAGATTCTACACATTTTGCAGATATTACATAGTTGGGCATGGTAACAAGAAACCACCATGTTGATTAAAACCTGGTAACCATGACAATATTATTACCTTCACATGTGAAGATAGAGATGGTACATTGACAATACCTGGTAGAGATACCGTGTTTTGAAACAGGAGAGTTTGAGGTATCACATCAATATCTATATTATAAACTTTAACATTAATCCTGCAACTTTGACACAAGCATATAAATCATAAGCAAAATCCTTTTACTATATCCTTGGTATGTTGACTGTAGGCATATTCAGAATGTCTCTATTTTTCAAATTTGTTTCTTATCCTAAGTAACATATGGTTCATCTGTAATTAAGACCATGAATGCTATGCCGCTTGTGAGAACATAGTCTAGGGTGTAAGGGAACAGAACAGCTTGTTATGATCGGGAAGCAGGCCTAACAAATTTCTGCCTTTCCTATGAAAATAAAATTGCTATTGGTTCTCGTTTGGGGTTTTTTGCTTCTGCTCGTAGTCGACCAATTTACAGCTTTGTCTAAATGAAGTAAAGGACAAAATTGATTTTTATGTCAAAAAGGAAGTAAGAAATTTGTCACACCAATAATTAACACTCTTGATAAGCAAAACCTGGTTTGTTCTGAGAGTTAAATGCCAATTATTCTAGTTAAAAAAAAAAACACCAAAATTTTCTTGAGCAGTTAGAAAAACATTAGGAAAAACCAGTATTTAGAATGAAATATCTCAACAGAAGTTGGTGTATTGATTCCCAATTTTTAAGATCACAAAGAGAAATCAATTCTAATTTTAAAATTACGCTGAGAGCGAAGGGCATCTTTTCAACATGTTCAAAGAGGTTCCTTCGTATCTTTAAGACTGATAAAAAATTATCTTACAAAGGGGGAAAATATTTTTCTGATACTTTTGCAACGCAAAATCGAACCAAGACCTTTTGTTTAACTGAATAGCAATCTGCTGAGACAAAAAACCTAGCGATCAACCAAGTGTCTGCTGACAGAATGTTCAACGTGAATCAACGGATATGCAGTCTAAATCAACTCAGCACCTAATGTTGTTGTTATGGAGTTAATCCCCGTGCATATGAAAAGATTACCAAGCCCTGAGTGCATGCAACAACTATCACATCATTTGATATGTTTTGTTTTCAATTTCATAACAAAAAATATACAATTTTGTTAAATCTACAGATGCAAGGTTAAAATTCGGCTAGATATTTAAGCTATACCTGATTTGTGGGGCAGCCGAAGTACGTACGGTTTCATTTCATCGAGATATCGGTCAAACATTGAGTCTTGTCTTTCACTAAGCGATCCTGAATCGAATCCACTGAGCTCCCCGTAACGATGAGATGCCATCTTATCAGTTGACTTCAAATGACTATAGGCGATAGCCAGTTTTAACTAATTAAAAGATTAGAAACGTCAAATCGAGCAGACTAGTCCGTGAAGCGCAGCAGGTTCCCTGAGTATCACTAGGTGGAAGTTTTTTTTACGCTGGGATCTGATATCTCTTGTTTCGTTTGTATCCTTATTTTCATTTGAGCGGAATAAAATCCCCCAGATAATGGTCCCGTTAACAATAACATCTGTTTATGCGTCCATAAATTATAAATGAAGTTTGTAAAAAGCGCCAACGGTTGAAACAAACAGAAATCGAAAGTGTAGGGATCGAGTAAAAGTAGCCTGGGAACGAGTAACATTTTTTATTGTTTCGGAAGTTTTTGTTCTTTATTTTTCCTTTATTTGATGGATCATTTCAACCAAATAAGTATTTGGAGCAGGATTCACTGGCATGGAAAATAATAAGAAAAGGAATTTCTTGAACATTTTGAGATTTCGGGACAGTTTCAACAGTTTCCAAAGTCACGTTTCCACGTTCTTTGTGTTCAGTTGTATTTTCCCCGTGTAAGCATGCGCTCACAATCAAGATGGCGGCAAAACTTCAAAAAACTCTCACTTAAAACTAATTTTCGCTATGACACAAATTCGGGAAACAATTGAAGCACTTTGCAACGTCCTAAGCAACCATTCCACTACACAGGTCTCTGCAGAGAGTTTTCGCTTGGCCAAGTTCGATAAAGATGAAGCAACAGAGTCGCTATGGCTGACACTTCGGACAGTTCTTTCTGTGGACGATTTAGAACCCGAATCTATCAGAAGAGATAACATAGTGAGTTTCTGTAAGCATAAGCTGTTTCACAAAGGATATCGAGTGAAGAAATTTTACCAGCTCCCAGAAGATATGTCTTGTGGCAGCAGGGAATTGATGTTAGCTCTAGGCTGGTTAATTGCGAAGGAAGATGTCATGTCTGCCTCATTGACAAAGCTGGAGCCGGTGGTTTTTGAGGATCCTCCGTTGGACTCGTCTTTGTATGAAAAGATTCCCTTACCTAGAGGACTAGATGCTCTTTCAGAACTGAAAAATAAAAAAGATCATACCAACGCCATTGATCTTGCTGAAAGTTTAATTTTCAGGTACAACAAATTACACTCTTCGTTGAAAAGCCTTTTGGGTGCAAAAAATGAACACGTAAAAGTTATCTGCAAGTTACATTCAATACCAAAAAGCTCCAAGTCCCAAAGTTCTGGCCATTTTTCATCACAAGATATCTACTTTTTGCGTTACCCAAATGAACTTGAAAAATATCAAGAGAAGCTTGAATGGTTTTGTGGCTATGCAAAGGCTCTTATTTGCTGGTCTTTAAATGAGCTTACATTCTGGAAATGGATGGAGACTGTATTGGATGGAAAAATATCAGATGAGGGAGGAAAGGACACTGATGAACAAAGTGATGATATTCGACTACAACAGCAGTTTTCACCAAGCAGTGATTTGCAACTTGCCAAAGGGCATCAAGTAACACTTTCCCAAATCTTGCACGCTCAAGAACCAACCTACAGGAAAGTTTCTAAAACATGGAAGAAGATCAAAGCAAGTCTTCAATCTTGTGAGGAAGGACGAGCTAATTTAGCAGATGCATTATCTTTGCTTGATAGTAAACTTTTGTCAGAAATAAGAGAACTTCAGAAATATTCATTGAAGTGTCAGAAGAAACCTAAAGCCAGAGGTTCTGTTTGTTTGAGAAAATTAACTCAAGGAGAATCCAATAAGGCATCAAGGACAACCAAAGAAACTGCAAACACCTCCATGGCATCAGATGAAATATCAAGGTTGCAACAAGAAAAAGAGGCACTTCAAAATGAACTCAGAAGCTTAGAGGAAGTACACAGGGAAAAGATGTTGCAAATTTGCCAGGTTCGGCAAGATCTTGTCTGTATTTCCCCAGGTATGACAACTAATATTATGTAACTTGATTCATGTAGATTTACTAACAGAAGGGGTGGTTATGGTAAAATCTAACACTGAAACTATTAATTTGCAATGTCACACCCCATTAACACCAGCAAAACATGTTTAGTTATAATACCACTCAAAACATCAGATCTAGCAAAGTTTTGCTGCATTGGCAACAATACACACTGTAAGGATTTTTATCCTATAATTACGAAAAAAGGTAAGAAACTTTAAATTAATTGCATGAAAATTCCTTTGCTTCCTCTTTTCCTGATGCTCAAAACTCATTTTGAGCATCTTGATACTACACTTGAACATCTTGAAAGTGAACTCGAGTCTGGAACATCTAAGGTTTTGAGAGGTGAGGATCAAGAATTGAGTTTTGATGATCAAGTTTGATGGGAATGTCAACTTACTTTTTGCGGTATTGTAAACCAGGTTTAAATGAATGAAATTCAGAAACAGAGAACTGATAGGCTAAATTTTCCATGAGATTTAGTAGTCAGTCAGTGTGCTAAATTTGAAGTTGGAAAAACATCTGTTTAAGCAGCTTCTATGAAGAATACAAATTAAAGCCATGGTTAACAAAATGGCTTTAAAGCACGATAAAGCTTTGGTGTGAATGTGGTATTATACTGAAGATTTTGAAATGCCAATATGAAAGGAGGCAAATATATAGGATGTGGTTATTTGTTATAAAGACTATTGAGAAAAATTAACAATTTTCAAGGCTATGTTTTCCACTTTGGAAAAGGAACAAAAAGGAACAAAATAATAATTAGTTCTCATTCCACCTTGCCATATTTACCCTCTTGGTTTTTCACCTCATTGCTTCCTTTCTTCTTCTTTGCTCCCTTTTAATACACCTCCTTCTGATTCTCCCCTCTTCATCTAAAATAATATGTGTTCCCAGGACTGTGTCTTTGTCAATGTAGATCATGTCCTTAGGAGGATCCCTCTGTAGTGTACATGTGGTTGAGTCTGGGGCTTACTCCAAAAGAAAATTTAAAACTGGATGCCAGCTTGTTTCAAGTTTTAAAATATAATGGCAACAGTAAGATTCTTCTATAAAGGTTTTTCTTAAGCATAATTAAAAAGCAGTTCTCTCTTACCTTGTCACTTATGTCTAGCTTGTAAAATGAATTTAACTTATGACCAAAATGTAGCACATAATGCATTACTCAGACTCTGTGGCAAGGGAAATTTGGGCTGCACTTGCTTTTTGTTGAATCAAAGATACCTTTAAGGTAGGACTGGTAGCAATACAGAGAAAATTTAAAAGAATCTGTGGATTTATTTCTATCCAAACACCTCTTTAGCTTTGCAGTTCCACTGAGTTTTGATGCCTTCACAGTTGAAATGTGAATGCCCCATCCAAATATTTCCAAGAGCCCTTCTCTTTGAAATTGCTTTATTGATTAAACCTTTGTTCCAAAGGTCTCTTTCTCAGACAATAAGAGATGACAGAGCTGGAGGACTAAGAGATAGTTTTGGTTCACATTGAGAATTTCCTATCAAGGGGTGTCATTCTTTGATGAAAGTTATGATAGGAATACAAAGAGTAATCTTGAAATTCAGGTCTTGCAAAGGTCTATGAAGAAGACCGATTTGAGTTTTGTAAACAAAAGAATTCCAGAAACCCTGCTTTATTTGGACTGTCCATTGGCAAAAACCCTGATTTTGTTTTACACGTATATGACTAGCTTTGAAACATAATCTTGGTAGGAGAAAGGTCAAGTAAAAAACTGTGGATGTAAAAGAAAAGCACCCGGGGAGTTGATGAGCCAAGCACTCTGAAGTGAACCGTGTTCTGTACCGCTTAATCCATTCTATATGTTGGCAAAGCAGACCTAAGTTTTTCATTCAAGAAAGAAATGTACACAAGCAATGATTTTCCTGGTTACGGTAAATTTTGTTTCCCCGCACTTAATATTGTTTGTGTTAATCGGAAGATACAGTCTGCTGCTCGGTAGTCATGGTTTGTTCTTTGCATGAAATCATGTAGTTTAAAAGCTGATTGTCGTCATGGAGTATGGATCAGGGAAAAAAAAAATTTTTTATCGTGTTATGCAAGTACAGAGCAATATTTACAGAAATATTATCACTTTTAACTAAACGCTAAATAACCGACACAGTTCACTCGTCTTTACGTAATTCATATGTACGTTGATACTCTGATCTTGTATCATTGCTAAAACTTACCCTTTCTCCACAAGAGGAGACATGTTCGTATAAGAAAAGCTAAAACTTACCCTTTCTCCACAAGAGGCGACATGTTCGTATAAGAAAAGCTGTCTAGACAAAGTGTACTTTGTTAGTCCAAGGGGCTCGTGCACCTCAGGAAATTGTCCGCCAGCTGTGTGAACTGCGAGCTCCTTGGTGGCACGTCTTTAATCTGTCAGGGCGACTTTGCGCTACAAGTATCCTGTTTATATGCAACAGTTCTGTCACTTCCGTTTTCTACACAGCCTAAACTCCCTTTCGCCTTATAGCATTATGTGATAACGGCTTAGAGCACGCTTCTCTAGCTTTGCCCAGAGGAACTGAACTTCTACGCAGCTAGCGCGATAGGGAAAGTATACTTCAATATGTTTTCGCTTCTCATGGTATAAGAGAGTGAATATGTTTGGAAAACACAGGGGACTTAAAAATCAAACTTTGACGAACGTTTAAGGCTAAACTAAAGAAATACTTTCCATAAAAGTGATCCCAAATATTTGTTTCTTTTTCCATTTAAGTGCTTTTATTTTGGTTTGCGTTGAAAAAATGATAAAGAACATGTTCGTTGTATTAATCGAGAGAACTTTCGCATTTTATCAATTTATGTTTTCGTTTTGCTGTCCTCGGCATTTGAAAGTTTTTCTTGTACTGGCTTTGTATTCAACACCTCCAAGCTTTATGAACATGATCAAAGGAGCTGTTTGAGAACCATCAGACGAAAAACCAGACAATTGCAATTGGATACAGACATTCACTTTGAAATAGCTTCTGCTGTGATCCATTAATTTTTAACATTTTACAAACCGGTGTCACCTTTATTTCAACGTTTTTAACGATAGCAGCGAGAACTGATCATGTTTTCCACAACTTAACGAGTAAGAAAGGAGAGTAATGTATTCTCAGCGTAGAAGAAAGTGAAAACGTTGAAGCTAGACTAGCAAAAAGGCTACGAAGAAATTGCAAAGTACGTAAGCCCAAGATATTAACGGAGTTCAACGATGTTGTCAAGTGTGTATTAAATCGCACCGCAAACATCTTGGATAAAAAAGATAACTCTATTCATGCTTTAACTTAAATAAAAAAAAATTCTTAGTTATAGAGAGTAATTTTGCCAACAGTAGCTAAATTTAACCTGATCTTTAGATCTTTTAAATGTAGAAAGCATTGACTCCAAAATATCAGCATTTTCCTCAACAATAACCAGGAGATCATTGATCAGTGTGCACGTGCTGGCCACAAGTTAAACAGACGACGGTTTAGGGTTTCATACAGGAAGGCGTGATATTTTTTTTGTCTAAAACGTGGTTGTGAGTGCAATTTCTTTATTTTCCGGGTATTGTAATTTCTTGCAGCAGGCTTCTCTCGCACGTGGTGATCAATATTCCTTGGCTCGTTCCCTGAATGGGAGACATGCTCTCAAGCTGAAGAAACGTGATTTGAGAAAGTCTATTTTTTGTCTACAGTTTTTATGCCCAAAGGAAAATGGTATGTAATTCGTGGCCCAGTGTGCTTTGCCAAAACATTTTTTTAGAAGATATCAAGGTCCATGTCATTATGGCCTATATCTCACTAAATTGTTCTACTCATGAAGAGTTTTTATTTTTTTCGCTATCGTTGGTTCTCGTCTAAATTGGGCAGAAGTCGAGTGTCTACATTTTTTCATTTGACCTTTCCTTGCAAACAGTGAAAAACGAACCAATCGCTGGCGATTTTACATCGATAAGAGTCTCATGACAAGAAATATGCAGCCCAAGCACTTTCGGTCTGGATTTAACTAGGCACGGGGGAACTCGGAAGCAGATTCCCTAATCGTTCATTGAATACCATGCATTTTGAATGCTTGAACCAATTGCATGCGTTGTCTTAGTATCCCTGGGTGATCACGCGACAAGCACGTCCAATAAAGAGTGGGAAAAAATAGCATATTGACTCACTCTCCTGTAGCTCTCATGTATCGTGCATTAAAATGACCACTGTAAATTTGGCCATGAAGTATTACCTTAAATCGTAACGTGACACAGTGAACACCACTCATCCATACATGGCAACCACCTATTGATCACTCATTCATATACAATAGACTCGTGGAAGGTTCCATCACGCTTCAGACAAATATCCGTTTCTTAGTACCCAAAGGTCGTCTCAACACCGACCCATGAGAGTCCGTCATCTTTGAATAAAAATGTGACGCTCTTAGAGGATCATTTTCACGTTAAATTTTTTAATGTTCATCAGAATTTTTACTCGGAACTTTGCAAGTGGCCTTATTATATGTATGTCTTTAAAAACTGAGATGTCCTTGAGAGTTTTCTCAGAGTTGTGTCTAGACGGGGATACCCTTTGAGTGAAGTCAAGGAGGGTAGATCTGGTGATCACACGCGACATGACAACGTTACCCTAAGATTCCACGCGCCGACCATTGTGGTTGCACGTGAAAACAGCACATATAGCTCTGATTGGCACACTCCATGCCTTGGTAGGGATACGTGCAAATGTAGATTAAATTAAGAAAATCGTAGATATATTAAGACCGAATTTTTTTAACTTCGGGCCAGAATAGTTGCAGTGCTTCTTCCAAAGTGTTGTAAGTCTTTTTGAGTGGAAGAATTTGTTCGTATATCCGTGAAGGATTAAAGGATTCGACCTTGATCAGTTGATTTTTTTGTAACATCGTGGTAACGGTAAGTTGTTTTTGTCTGTTATCGTTTTTTTTTAGTTTTAAGAACACATGTTTTCATTTTAAAACACAGCAAGGAAAGAGTTCTATTTAGGAGGTGCTCAAATTGTGTCAGCTCAAAGAACAAGTCGCGGCTACCGAAAAATTGAAAAGGAGGTTACATGTGTATTTAATGACTGGCTCATTTTCGATTAAAAAAAAAATTCTCCATTTTCAAGAGCGCCGGCACTCTACTATTTTGCAAACGTGGTTTACCGGGTGTACTTCCGTTACGTAACCCGGTGTGGGATTGCGTAAGTCACCGTCTCTGGAGTATGACTGATGTTTTGATGTCAAATTTTCATCGTCTCAAACCGTATCGGAGTTAATTTCTATCTTAATAGTATTTTTGAAGATAGCTTCGACTTTAAGGAAATTGGGAGGGGCATTCTAGAGATGAGTCGGACAGGGCCCGCGGAAGGATGAATATGTTTGCTTTGACAATTAGGAGGGGTTCACTTGGTCTGCTCTGCAGTTGGGTTTCTAGTTTGGTGAACAACACTTTCAAGGAATCCAAATAGTTTTGCTTTCACGTCCGAAATATTTTGATACCCCAGGCAGCTCAAGTGTAAGGTTAGATCGTTGCGTCATTTTTA